TATTTTTGTGAGGTGTATTATGTAATCCAAGGCTAACTCGGCGGAAGCTTTCCAGATCGGTTCATATACATTATCCAATCCAATATTCATTTTATGTTTGTATATTGATCCTGGGAACTTCACTTACAAATCTCCTAAGTGAAGCAGAAAATCTGTAATTTTTCCCGTCCAACTTCTATTCATTCCTGGCCGGTTTAAAATTATACAAATAAAATCTATTTATTTCACTGACCCCTCTAGCTTATGATAATTTTAATAATTTAAAATTAAATATAAAATTTAGCATTTATGGCAAATTAATATATAAACCGCACTTAACAATAGCTGCACTTTTGTTAATCAGTAAAAATCAATCAAATTTGGCAAATCAATTTTTTCTCAAATATGGCTGTTAGATGAATTGATTACTTTTTTCACAAAATACATGCCGTACAATAATATATTTATATATAGATTTATATAAATGTTATTATATAAATTATTTAGTTTTTTTTTCTCAGTGTATATCATTTTGTAAATTCAGCTTTGTAAAGAGTTTTAAAGAGAGAGAGTTTTAGTTTTTTTTCGTCATGGGAGGGAGAGAAAAATATAAAGGATTATATAAAAAAGTCGGTTTTATAATAATAAGAATATTTTTTTTTGTTGTTGTTTTACTTTATACATATACATAGATAAGCAAACAATTAAATATATTTTTTTTACAAAACTGTAAAAAATAAATCGAAATTTATTTGGTTACAGATTTGTAAACAAAAACGTTTAATTGTGTAAGTAATGGTTAGTAGTAATAATTCATAATAGTAGTAGTAGTTGTGTTTCTTGTTGTTCTTCTTCTTTTTGTTGTTATATTTAGTATGAATAGTAGTAGTTGTTGTTTGTTTGGATTGCCACATATCATCATCATCATTATCATATATATTAATTATTCTATTTTGAAAAATTCGTTAATTCATTATTTTTGTTAATATTTTTATTATTATTTTACTGTAGTAATTTGTTATATTTTTATATCCTTTTTTTGTATGAGAGTGTGTGTTGTAGTCAGTTCTTTGTTGTGTTTGTATGTGTATGAAAAATGTCTTGTTATATGCAACGGTTTTTTTTGTTATATGAAATTTAAATATATATTTTAAAAAAAAGTTTATGATTTTTTTTAGAATTAGTAAATTTTTGTTTGCTGTCTTAAATATTTGTTTTGTTGTTGTTGTATTTTAAGTTTACAATACGTTTACGTTAAATATTATTCATAATTTTTGTTTTATCATTTTTAATAATATTATATTTTTTTCTTTCGTATGTTTACTGTAAATTTGTATGTAAATTGTAAATGTTTAAAAAAGGAGATTATTTCAAAAAAATATAATAATACTAGCATTTTTCCCATTCTTGTTATTGTTTGTTTTTATTAAATATTTGTTGTATTTGTATTGTTTTTGGTTTTTTTGTTTTAGATGAACGAATAAAAAATTATTGTTTTCTCTGTTGTTGGGCTGATTTATTTTCGTATTGTGGTGTTGTTTGTTTGTTGATGTTGTTGTTATTAATGATGATGATAATGTTGAGAATGTGTGAAAGGAATTTTTTTTTTGAAAATTTTTATTAAATGTGGCGTTGTTCTAATGATTGTGAAAGAAGTCGCTTTTATAAAGAAAGTGACAATAATGTCTCTATTGAAGAAATCCCTTAGAGAAACCTATTTATTGGTAGTGATAAGTAATCAATACATTTTTGATGTAAAAAAAATATGAATATTGTCCAAAATCGACTTCTTTACCAAAGAAGAGTTTCTAAATGCCTTCAAAAAAAATTTAAAATTTTTGTTTTGCTCTTTTTTCATTCCAGATAGAATATGTTTCACAGATATGAATGGCTGAGATACAATTGTGAAGGTAAGTAAACATTTTTTGTTGGGGCGTTAACGCTCAGGTTATAATATTTATGTGTACATATTTATGTGGGATTATTATACACATGTCTGGCTCTCGTATGAACTAGGATTATTGACTTCGCTCATAAATCAATAAAATAGCGGACCTTTGAAAAAATATTTTTGGAAAATCCTCTATTTTTACAACAAACTAAGTTAAAAAATCTTGACCGATTGGATTCATTCTAGTTCATACTATAGCTATACACTCACAGAGAAACATCCCAAAATTTGGAACTGATCGGATTAATAGTTTTTGAGTTATCGTGCCCGCCATTCGCAAATGCGTTTGAGAAGCCCTCTTGCCGCCACTTGTTGCTAGCACAATAAATCGGCTATATCTTCAAGAATTATTGAGATTTTAAATTGAAATTTCATAGGGACATTTTTGAATTAGTGTAGATTCGAATAAAATCAAAATACAAAAATAAAATTTTTGAAACAGTAAATGGGGGCGGGGGCCCTTAATATAATTTTTTTACCGATTTGGGTGCTATACCAACCAATATTGTTCCACCTTTATGTATAGCACCTATTTAATGGTACTCTTTTTTTAATGGTCCTAGACATATTTTTGGTTTGAAGTGGCTGTAATTTAGCACCCCGTATTCTTGATATGTTTACCCCTGTTTTCTTATAACATATTTAATATAGGCATAACATAAAACCCATATAAACGGCCTTCCAAATTGTCGGTATGTTGAAGTTATAGCCGAATTTTTCTATCTATCTTGCAATTTTGTTGTACACAATATGAGGTCCAAACGGATTTTAGGTATTTTGATTGCTTAACTCACGGTGAAGGGTATTAACAGTTTGTCCCTGCTGAATTTTACGAGGATTTTACTTATTAACTTCGTATGATTTTGGTGGATAATGCCGATGATCATCTGGCCATGTTGATTAGCTAATTCTTGCCATCAATATTGGACCCAAGACAATGGTATTGATTTAAACCCTGTGAAGACTGACATAGTGCTGTACACCAAGAAACATAAGATACCGATTTACTCTTGATGAAGCTACTCAATAACTCGCTCGGGAAGCTAAATACCTCATTGACCACAGCTACCCCCGATTTAGTAGATCTAGAACTCTCTGTGGAAAAAACTTTGACCAAATTTTGAAATGGAACGTCGAGGAGCATACGAAGAAAGGTCTAATAGCACTATAATCCTGCAAGATATCCAAAGGAAAGTGCTGGGAACTGCAACCACACTTATACTTATGTTTTATGTTACGGTAGAGCTCTTGTCTGGTGGCAGGCACTTCGTAAATTAACATTGTTGCCCAGGATAAGTAGTGGGCAAATGTCTGTGCCGTTTGTAATTATTGGCGTTACTCGTAGCATTCCTTAATCTGCATTAAATGCTTGCCTAAGTTTTCATCCGTTGGATTTATTATTTCGATTTCAAGCTAGGAGTACAATGAGGATCAGGACTATGAACATCCTCCGTCCTCACACTATAATATGCCACTTCATGTCCTCAATCGTCAATATAAAAATTGAAAATAGACCTCGGGACAAGCATTGACTACCGTTTAACGAGGAAAAGAAAATTGGAGGACAATATAAAGAAAGATTTAATGGTACTACACTCCTGCAAGATCTCCATAGGTAAAAGGGCTCGGAACTACAACTATACATCATATACTCGGGCTGTACGATACAGTAGTCATTCCCATACTGAAGTGAAAAAATAACATAATAAGTAGGATGCAAAAGTTTGCATCGCTCTTAATTATTGGCGTTTCTCGAAGCATTTTCCTATCGGATTAAAATTCGATCCTAAATCTCCAACCGGTTGGTGTATTATTTCGAGCTACTGGAGATAGTGGATAGTCTGGATACATTCTACAACCCTCAATCGTCTGTTTTCAGAATACAAATATAGAAATTTCAAGTGGATAGTCTGGATACATTCTACAACCCTCAATCGTCTGTTTTGAGAACACAAATATAAAAATTTCAAGTGGTGGACAAGTGGATTTATTCATCTAGACAATCTGTCAGTATACACGAACGGTTCTAGGATGAAAGAAGACAAAGGTGTGGTATTACGCTAAATGAATCTTGCAGTCGACATTCTAGCAAGCTTGAAGGCAAGGAAGTATGGTTTATAGACATGGGTCATTCTGGTGGTGTTTTGTCTAAGGACGACACTTTTTACGTTTTTCGATTAATTTATATCTCCAGTATGGTCCAGCCCAGTTATTTAACCCTTCTAAATGGCACAATTCATATCCGAACACCACGAAATTTAACAATTTAAAAGCCGAAAATCTGTCCATATCCTTAAAATACCTATAATATTATAATACAGCCTATTCCGTTGAAACATCTGTCCAAACCCTTAAAATTTTGAAAATAGAGACTATAAGAAACTGAACCGACAATGTCTTAGTGACTTTTCATAGTGACTAAAAACCTGCATGTAATTTAACATGTAATCAAGATCGGATAATATGGTAAGTCATATGAGCCAATTAGAGTTTGATTTTTTCCGAAACGAACTGGCTCATTGGAACTATTCCGATAAAGGAACGATGAAGGAACTAGTTCCACTTCTTAAGTTCCTTTCATTCCTTTTCCCGTTCCTTTCCTTTCAACCGTTCCTTTATTTTTGATTTCGTTTTTTTTTTTTTTTTGAATCAAACTTTGCGCACCCTATTATCATTACCAAGCCTAGTTAGCATAAGCATGTCCTCGGAAGACCACTGGTACGATATTTAGTCATTTATTTTCCCAAAAAGCGAGTCATTACTGTCACTTTCTTTGTAATCCTCGCAGCGACCTCTATTGATATCTTTGTGAAATACTGTGAGCAAATATATGGTTTACGAACTTTTGATTTAGATGTGGGTGTGTGTGAGTGTATGATTGTTGTGGAATATATGAACGATTACTAATTGATTTGATTACTACAATGTTTTTGTGGTTGTTATTGTTGTTGAGTCGTGTAATTTCTATGTTGTTGTTGTTTTATGTGATTAATGACAAGGAACCGTTGGAGAATGCCATCGTCTTTTTTGTCATCGTTGTTGTTTTTGATGTCGTTCGTGTCATTTTTACCTATTTAAGATCATCATATTCATCACTACCATTTTTCACCTCACCACTACTACCAGCACTGGCATGGAATGCAGCCATAGCCGATGAACGATGATCACTACTACTGCTGCTGGCACCACTACTGCCACCAGCACCACTGCCTCCGCTGCCATTTCGACTGCTGGCAGAGGTGGTGGTGCTACTTTCCGATGGTGCATCAAACGCATCCAAAAATGGATTTGTGGCAGCATATTGGACACGATAGGTGCCCAATGTGTGATAATTACCAGCCCCATTCGATGAGGAGGCAGTACCACCGCCACCATTGGCATATGGCCTTGAGTTGGTACCATACATACTACTTGAACCTGAATAAGCCGTGGAGGAATTTGAATTATTTGTATAAAAATCATAACTACTGGCTGAGCCAGACATGGAACTAACACCACTGCTGCTGGCCGTGCCAGGTGCAGTCGATGATGACGATGCTGCGGCCCCACCCGCTGCCGCGGAGCCTGCCGTATTGAATAGAGTCGCCCCCGAGATACTTTGTTTGGGCAATGTACCATAGTGTGACGAACCATTTGAGCCATTGCTCGAATAGGCACTGCTGCTGCGTTCAGAGCGTTCAGTGCCACTGCTGCTGCTAAAGAGACTACTACCGAATGAACGATGTTCTGAGCTTGTTGTTGACTTATTGCTAATATGAGTACTACTACTTGCTACCGAGTGTCTAATGTCGTTATTGTATGCTGATGATGTGGTGGTGGATGTAGCTGTCCTCGAACGGCTGCTGCCCAGTGCTGAGTCGGCAAGTTCGGAAGCCAGGCTATCGAATAGACGACGTCCCGTTGAAATTAAACCTGCTGGCGATGTGGCTGAGGTCGAAGTGCCGGGTTCCTTGAGGCTACTGGAGGCTAGAGATGATGATTTCGATGGTGATGCGGCCCGGTCGCTTTTGTCGAGGGTGTATTTACCACCCAGATTGTGGCTGCTAGCTGATAAGGTGCTACTGATGCCGCTACCGCTGCTAACATCACTGTGTATATTTCGACTGCTATTGGTTAGATGATACGTACCTCGGGGTAAACTACTGCCACCTGGTGGTGATGGTGAATCAGGTGATTTAATGGGGGTAAATTGTACCCTAGGTTCCCGCTTCAGATATTTCGACATTAGCTGGGTGGTGGTCATGGCCTGCGATTGGGCCAATAGAGCATTTGTTGAAGCCGAAGATTTATATGAAACCAAATCGTCCGAATCATCGGAAGAGGTGGTTGTAGCCGAGGTACCCGCCGAGCCGGCACTCAGAACCGTAGCCTGTGAAGATGCTGAGGATGATGATGCACTGGATTTGTTACGCATGGCCTTGTATTCTTCGGTGGACAGTGAACTGGTGGGTTTGTGATCCAACGCGACACTACCTCCCGACGAAGCATAGGCGCTACGCAATTTGTATGCCGAATCGCCATATTTGCCGCCGATACCGCTGCCACTGCTGCTGTTGTTCACCACACCATTATTGTCATCGTCGCTCTTGGTCTGAGATTTGTGCGGTTCGTAAAAATCAACACCTTTGCGCGTGGTGCTACTACCGGATGACAGGGCTGCTGCATGGGCAGCTGCTGCTGTACTGCCGGATGATGTGCCTGTGGGTGATGTTGTTGCATATTGATTGGTGTTGTTGTTGTTGCTGTTAATTGTTAGGTGGTGTTGGTTGTTGTGAGGGCCATTTGTGTTCTGGTGTTGTTGTAGTTGTGTATCTAGAGAATCTCTATCGGACTTTTTCTGACTGAGCGAATACGAACTGACAGATTCCTGGATATTGACTTGCTTAACGGAGGCCGGTGAAATGCCTCGTTTGATTGTGTCCGTACCTGTTAGAGAATACAAATTATTTCTGTAATGAATTTAAATGTTGATTGACTTACTTTTGCCCGAACCGGATCCCGATGCTGTCGATGCTGAACTACTGCCGGGGGAGGGTGTGCCGGGAATGGGCAGTGGCGATGGGTCGGGAATTGCCGAGACCACTGAGTCCACCAATGGATGGGGCTGTAATGAAAACGAAAAATATTCCGAAAAAACAAAAGGCAAAAAATTAGTTCGGCTGCCATGCAGAGCTGGTTTCGATGAAATACACAACTAAAAGTGGAAAAATGACTGTGGCGGAATAAGTGGAAGTGGGTGGTGGTTGTAAAGCTTTTTTTTCGTTTGGTGCATTTTTTATAAAAAGAAAACAGAACAAAAACAAATGCGTGTTTTGAAATTTCAAAATGTTTTTCAATATTTCCCAATTTGACATTTTTTGCAAATATACAGCCACAAGGTTTGGTTGGTGGTGTTTTTTGGGTTTGAAATCGGATTCAATAATTAATTAACTAATTTTTTTTTCAAATATTCTTTTTTCACTACAGACAACAACAACAGCAACTTCATAAAAAAACTTAGTAACAAGTGCAGGGTACGTATAAAATCACAAGGTGTGCCAATTTTATCCACTTTGCCAATTACAAATTGATGAGGTCGATATTCGGATGGAATCATGAATGGACATGCAACGTTTAATGACAAATGGAATGGGGGGAAGATTTGTGGGAGGGTCTCTAATTTTTTTTTTTTTTTTGAAAGATTATTTTTGTACCAATATTTTCAAAAAATAATTTACTATTCATAGTAAATTTTCACAAAATTTACTATTCATAGTAAATTTTCACAAAATTTACTATTCATAGTAAATTTTCACAAAATTTACTATTTATAGTTGGAATTTACTATTCATAGTAAATTTTCACAAAATTTACTATTTATAGTAAATTTTCACAAAAATTACTATTTATAGTAAATTTTCACAAAAATTACTATTTATAGTAAATTTTCACAAAATTTACTATTTATAGTAAATTTTCACAAAATTTACTATTTATAGTAAATTTTCACAAAATTTACTATTTATAGTAAATTTTCACAAAATTTACTATTTATAGTAAATTTTCACAAAATTTACTATTTATAGTAAATTTTCACAAAATTTACTATTTATAGTAAATTTTCACAAAATTTACTATTTATAGTAAATTTTCACAAAATTTACTATTTATAGTAAATTTTCACAAAATTTACTATTTATAGTAAATTTTCACAAAATTTACTATTTATAGTAAATTTTCACAAAATTTACTATTTATAGTAAATTTTCACAAAATTTACTATTTATAGTAAATTTTCACAAAATTTACTATTTATAGTAAATTTTCACAAAATTTACTATTTATAGTAAATTTTCACAAAATTTACTATTTATAGTAAATTTTCACAAAATTTACTATTTATAGGAAATTATAGGAAATCTACAACTACTTGAAAATGATTTTGTGTTTGAAATAATTTCGAAATTTTGATGTTCAAAATGGATGTGTGTATTCGGTTGGGTTTTGGGTATTTGGTGTTCATTAAAGAAAACGTTGTAAAACATGCGTTCTCTTCATCTTTCTTCTTCATCTTCATTTTGGTGATATTCAATAAAAACATTTAAACGCATAACGCTGGAGACTAGACACATACATATATATTGTGTGTACTGTACGATTATATTTATGTATATACAAAAAGGATTTGAAGCATTTACATCGATGTCTGATCGATATGAGTTTTTGTGGAGATGTTTGGTTTGGTCTGATTTTTGGCTTGGTTTTTGTTTTTGGATGATTTAAATGGTAAAATGGTTGCGTTTATTTTGGTTTTAGCATGATTTTGAGTAGCTGTTTGGAATGATTTTTTGGATAGTTGATTTGTTTGCTGATTAGTTTTAAAAAGAATACTAATGCTAATGTGTAGTTTTGATTGTTTGATTGATTTGTTTCAACAAGTTTACCAGTAGTGGGCCAATCATGCTTACATCCGATTTGCAGTTAGTTTACATCACATCACATCAACAATTGCTTCAGTTTTTTCATTATTTTAAATATTCGTTATATTAGAAAAAGTTTCAATATTTTGTTTTTTCATTTGCGTTATAAATATTCTCAATATTGTTAATCACTTAAAGCAACATTTAGGTTATTATTATTATTATTATTTATACGGTCAACAGGTAGTTTTCACTGAGGTGGATGGGGAAATTTTGTGGGTTAACAAAAAATGTAGTGTACAGTACTTTTCAAGAATATGAAGAAACATTTATTAATCATCAGGGTAATAAGAGTCTAGGTCCAACATTTGTTAATTTCGTGAATTTTCGTTTAAAAATTACGTTGAAAAATCTGAATCCTTCTTGGGTCAAAAACACCAGTTTACAACTGAAATAGGCGATGTAAAAAAACAACACGCTTTACTTTCATAGCACTCACTCTGACATACTATAGCATTGAAGTAGCATGAACTATTATAGCAAGTAATATCGCATCGCTTCTCGCTTGCACTCTGACGATCGACTCAGCTAGTCGAGATATGACGATCGGTATACATAAAGGTGGGTCCAGGACCAATATTTTACGGCGTTACAAACTTTTGGGGCTTCACAAAGCAACATAGCTGTGTAGGGTATAATGACTAAAGGGCTAGGATTGGATGTCTTAAAGAATAACTTTTCTAATAGTTACAAGGCTAATTATTAATTTTTGAAGGACTATATTTAGGTTCATTCAACAAATAAATGTGATTTTTTCGGACCATTAAGGGGTTTTTATAATAAATTGTCAATAGTAAAGTCCTTATGAATAATTCTTTGGGACCATAATAAGGGCCTTCCGGGTAGATTTTTAGGAACCATAATAAAAGTCCGATTAGTCCGATTTTTAACATTATTTTTAGAGGTCACCCACTTGAGAAGCGCTGTTCTTTAAGATAAAAATGTTCCAGTTGCATCAGTGGTTTTGTTAGAATCCTTTTCATGAACCATAATAAGGGCCTTCCGATTAATAAAGGTTTGTCAAGATCCATAATAAGGACTTTCCTACCAATACGCGTACATTTTTGCTAAATTATTTTTTTTAGAGGGTCCTCCAACCATGAATGACCTTTTTGAAGTAAAATGTTCCCAAGCGCAGTCTCATTTTTATTAATCTTTTTTTAAGGACTATTATATGGATTTTCCGTTCGATAAGGTTGATTTTTTCAAATCTTTTTCCAGGACCGTATTATTGTTCTTCTGTCCAATTTTTTATAAATCATTTTGGCAGGTTCTATTGATCAATAAGAATGTTTACGAGCCTTTTTAAAAAAGCACAGTAGGCTTGATTTTTCAATTTTTTTTTCAAGGACAAAAATAAGGGTCTTTCAACCTGTGCGGTTGTATTTTTTAATCATTTATTTTTAAGAATCATTTTTCATGGGACTTTCTGATTGCTAAGGGTGTAGTTTTTAAGACTCAAGTCCTTGCGTCCAATAAGGGTTGATTTAAAAAAAAAAACGTTTGGATGGTCTTCCGATGTAGAGGACGGACTTTAAAGGTTTAAATATTTGGTCCGTGGCCTTCAGATCAATAAGCCTGGATTTTTTAAAGAAGGATCCTTAGACCAATAGGCCTGTATTTTTTAAAGGAGGGTTTTCGAACCAATAAGCGTGGATTTTTTGAAGAGAGTCCTCGCACCAATAAGCCTGGATTTTTTAAAGGGAGTCTTCGGATCCATAAGCCTAGATTTTTAAAGAAAAGTATTCGGACAAATAAGCGTCGATTTTGTAAACAAAGGGCTTCGGATATAAGCGTGGACCTCTTAAAGAAGAGTATTCGGACAAATAAGCCTGGATTTTTTAGAAAGGATCTTCGAACCGATATGCCAGGATTTTTTAAAGAAGAATTTTCGGACCAATAAGCCTGGATTTTTTAATGAAAAGTATTCGGACAAATAAGCCTGTTTGTAAAGAAGGGTCTTCGGATTAATAAGCGTGGATTTCTTAAAGAAGATTGATTCTTCGGATCAATAAGCGTGGATTTCTTAAAGAAGATTGATTCTTCGGATCAATAAGCGTGGATTTCTTAAAGAAGATTGATTCTTCGGATCAATAAGCGTAGATTTCTTAAAGAAGATTGATTCTTCGGATCAATAAGCGTGGATTTCTTAAAGAAGATTGATTCTTCGGATCAATAAGCGTGGATTTCTTAAAGAAGATTGATTCTTCGGATCAATCAGCGTGGATTTCTTAAAGAAGATTGATTCTTCGGATCAATAAGCGTGGATTTCTTAAAGAAGATTGATTCTTCGGATCAATAAGCGTGGATTTCTTAAAGAAGATTGATTCTTCGGATCAATAAGCGTGGATTTCTTAAAGAAGATTGATTCTTCGGATCAATAAGCGTGGATTTCTTAAAGAAGATTGATTCTTCGGATCAATAAGCGTGGATTTCTTAAAGAAGAGTAATCTGACAAGCCTGGATTTCTAGAAAGGGTCTTCGAACCAATATCCCTGAATTTTTAAAGAAGAATCTCTTGGATTTTTTAAAGAAGGGTATTCTGACAAATAAGCCTCATTAGGGCCTTCGACCGATAGGCCTGTTTTTTGAAGCAGGTTCTTTGGACCAATATGCCTGGATTTTTAAACGGACTCGGACTAATAAGCCTGGATTTTTTAATAAGGGTTTTCGGATATAATAAGTCTGGATTTTTTAAATAATTGTTTTTCAAGGGTCTTCCGATCAATAATTTTTCAAAAGTTTTCTGACCAAAAATCTTGGGATTTTAAAGGAATACTTTTTAAAAACCTTTGCACCAAATATCATGGGATTTTATAGAAATACAATGGTTTTAAAGGTTATTCAGATTAATAAGTGTGCATTTGATATGGTAATTTTTTCAGGCAGACCCACGATAATTAGATTATTTTTTAGAGACCACCAAGTTAACGACCATGATATTTTGTATATTTATAATTTTTAAAGTATATTTCGGCACCAGGAAAAACCTGAGCGTTTTTAATTATTAGGGACCAAAAATAAACCCTGATTAATAAGATATTTTTCGAGACCAGCAATTGGCCAGCATTTAACAAAAATATTCCAATGCAAATGGGTCTGTATTTTAATGTTTTAGGGATCACGAATAAATCATTATAAAAAGTTTATAGTTGTTGAGATTTCGATTTTTTCAGGAGCCAGGAATACGACTATATATTAAGGGAACAGAAATGGGCCTGAAATCTTTTGAAATGTTTTTCTAGACATTTTTTTAGGACTAGGAGAGGTCTGATTTTTTTTAAATATTTCTGAGGTCCCTCAGAAAAATTTGTCTTCGAACTCTACTCAAGGAAAGTACTGTACATTTGTTGATTATGTCTGTGTATGGGGTTGTTAGTTAACAGGATTGTGTCCTATTTTGTTGGGAAGGGGATCTTTAGATTTTTGTTTTGATTATTATATAGACATAAATTACACCAATATAATAGTTCATAATTTTCAGATGATTTTTATGGTCGCCAACATTCAAAGCTTTTGAGCGGTTTAACCCCCCCTTTGTTGTATCTTCCTTTTTCTTTTTTGTTTAAAATCAATTATAAAATAAAATAAATCATTTTATTTATAATAGTTGTAGTAATTAGAAGTTAAGAGAATATTTTTTTGTTTAGAATATCTTTTTTTCTGGAGTAGAGGAAGATAGGATGTGATTGTGTGTTTGGTTGGTTGTTTTGGTTTTGGTTTGTTGTTACCTGTTGCACCGCTTGTTGCAAGGCTCGATGCGATTGAGCTAACTGACCCACTACTGATTGATACAGATGACTGTTGACTGTGGCTGAGAGCGGATGTTGGCCTTGAGAAAGTATGTTGGTTACCGAAGTGGACGAGCGTAGTAGATTGCCCGCCGCCATGAGCTGCTGCTGCTGCGCCATGAGGAACGCCTGCCTGTCCACTTGCAACGCATTGACTTTGCTTCCACGCTGCCCTGTTGACTCGCCGCGCCGACCTGTCTACATAGGACTCTGTATTAATCAATATTATTGCAATTTTCATAGAAGTAAACTAGACAGTTCATGAAAAATGGGAACTTAAAAGAAATATGCGGATGGATTTGAAAAGATGGGGGTTTCGAGGAGAGAGATAGAAAAAAAGTTGGGTTTTGTGTTATAGAGCAAAATAGAGAGAAAAAACAAGATATGCACACACTCGCAAAAGAAACCAATACAACGATAGTTTTCTTTTCTTGTATTGGTAAAAAAATTAAGGGAAATTAACGAACGGAACGAAATGGAAACGGAACAGTGTTAGAGTTTTCGTTTTAAACTGGAGTGGGGGTTTTTGGTGGTGGTGTAAACGTGAAAATTTGTGAACCTTGGGTAGAAGTGGTGTTCTAGTAACCCTTAAGAAAAAATTAAATAAATAAAATTAGCATTTTGAGAAACCGTTTTTATTGTTTAGTGACAAGTTTGTTGTTTGTTGTGCCACAAAATGTGTCCCAAAAAAAGTAGAGTATTCAGGTTATGACCCCAACAAAATAAAAACCGAAATCGAAAATAATACGCATTTTTTTTTTTTGCATCGGAAAAAATATACTAGAATTACGTTACCTGAAACAACACCGGGCATATTATTCATACTGCCAGCATTCATGCCCAGACCCATACCAAGGCCCATGCCCATGGTACTGCCACCCACAGCCATGCTGTTAATGAGATTGCCACCTGCTCCGACTCCGGGCGCACTTTGATGATGTTGCGACTGGGGTTGGGGCCAGATTTGTAAGAGATATTTCAGCACAGCAATGGGCTGGGCATGATCGATCTCAGAGCCAGGCTGGGCGCTGGCAGAATGCAGCATTAGGGGTGGGCCCATGACAGTGGCTAAAGCTTGAGCTGACATCTTATTGCGTTCGGAATTAGAGACGACCAGTGACAAGTGATCCAATAGAAATACTAGGGTGGCCTGGAAACATGCAAAATTTGTAATAATTTATATCAAAATCGGAACCTTGGAGATCTGAAGATACTTACCCTATTTGCTCTAGGTAAGCAATCCAATATGCTAAGCATTAATTTTGCATTGCCTTCGGGATCATCGGGTAGACATACAGCTGGAAAATGAAGGAAAAATAATTTTTAGTTAAGAGTCGTTGATTTTATAAAGAATATTTTTTCAAGGTCCATAAGAGGCGTGGATCTTTTAAAGAATATTTTTTCAAGGTCCATAAGAGGCGTGGATCTTTTAAAGAATATTTTTTCAAGGTCCATAAGAGGCGTGGATCTTTTAAAGAATATTTTTTCAAGGTCCATAAGAGGCGTGGATCTTTTAAAGAATATTTTTTCAAGGTCCATAAGAGGCGTGGATCTTTTAAAGAATATTTTTTCAAGGTCCATAAGAGGCGTGGATCTTTTAAAGAATATTTTTTCAAGGTCCATAATTTTTCCCCAATTTTTTTAACCATAGTTTTAAAGCCCAATTTTAGGTTACACTACTCACCCAATGCATCGACTGTCATCTGGAAGAGACATCGCGTAAACAACGGTTCTGGCAATTCTCTTAGATAGTCTTTCAGCACACCAGTGATGACATTGATATCAGGAACATGTTCTGGAGTCAATTCCACGGCACGACTATTTCGTTCGAACGCCTCACGCAGTAGACGTTTCTTTGTGGCCGAACCGCACAGGCGATACAAACCGATTATATCAAGACCACGACGCTCCACCTCTTCGACACAGCGGCGCAAAACTATCGGAACTGGAGCACAGCCTGGGGCACCCTTCGATTCACGATTCACCACAGTCTCAAGATCAGCACCGAACAGAGTGGGATAACCAGCCCGCAGGCTAGGTAAACCACGACGTTTATACAGAGCTATGGGATCTGTGTGACGCATGCGAATGTAAATCGTGCCACGAGGCTCCACCTTGAGGGCGAGCTGGTGTAATGGCGACTGGCGCAGTATCGTTGACAGTGAAATGGCTCCACGATAGCATAGCTTATGCCGATGTTGTGGATCCCACGAATAAACTAAAACATCCAATTGCTTATTGCCCACCAAGTCCAATTCGAACGATTCATCCCAATCGAATTGCAGGTCGCCGGAGCGTACCACAGTTCGCGCCTTATGTACCCGATCGCATTCTATCACACAGTATAGATCGCGTGTGGGCGCCGGTAGATGCTGTCCTCCTGCACCGTGCTGTGGTCCTAGTTCGGGTGCCGAACGTAGTCCACGGCCCGCTAACAGGTGAATCCACAACATACCCGATACACCGCCTATATCAACGATGGGTTTGTCCAGTTTATATTTGCTGAACTCTGCGGGATTGATGTCGATTTGTCGATGTGGTCGCGGCAGTGTAGCACTGGGTGTGGGCGCAGGACTTTGATGTCCGCCTGTGCTCATGATACTGCCACTGGGACTGGCTGGGCCAGCGGAGAGTTCGAGTAGTTGACGCATGCGACGAATGCTGGGCGAACGTATAGAGTTGGGGCCACCTATGTGCTGGGATGACATGGAACGCACAGGCAGTGATGAGATGGGTCGGGGCATGCCCAAGTGGCGATCCAAGGTGCCGGTGCCGAGGATGCCCGTTCGACTGGAGTAAATGCTTTCGGTCTGTGGAGAAAAAAGAATATAGAAAATAAGGGTAGGAGGGGAAATTTTCAAGACTCACATTTCTCAGAGCATCGTGAATATTCTCAGCACTGCAGGAGAACCGATGGGACCTTGGCTGATTCAGCAGATCTCTTGTCATACGCATTTGCTCGGCAATGGCCGAACTGCTGGGTGCCCTCCGCAGCCATGCCCGATATTCATCCGATGTAAATATCGACTGAGGACTGGCTGTGATCCGCGATCTCAGATCACGATCCCGCCGAGCATTAAATTCGGGTGCCGAAATATTACCATCGCTTTCATCCATTATGCGATCGCTAATACGTGAACGTATACCCGGCAATCGTACACCGGGCCGATCTCTTGGCAGTGAATTGAATTTAGCCATATCTGGCCCTCCACCCAGCACAGAGGCTCCACCAGGTGCTCCCGCACCACGAGGCATACTACCAATGGCAGGGCGATTGTAGTAGTAATAGTTGGGCCGTGGTCCCACGGTAGCCTCCGTATCACTGGAATAATCTAAATTGGGTCTTGAACGCCGAGTCAGAGACTGAGTACCACTCGGTCCATATTTGGCATTTGAATGAGGATCATAGCGTCCATAGCGACCCAGAGTGCCGCCAGGACCCATAATCACGGAGCCACCGCTCGGCTTGAGGCTAGGTCGCAACAACGAGTGGCGACCCAGAGAATTCGAATAATCGGCATATTCTACGCGAGGCAAATGCTGATCGGACCCGGAACGTGGGAAACGGGCTCGTTGCGGTACATTACCCACTGACAGGCGACGAGAAGGCGGAGCTCCCGGATAGAAGGAATGTACCTTTTCCGCCAGACTCTCCAACGTTCCGGCATTCTTGTAGTACGCATGTGATGGAGCAAACTGATGACCCTTGGGCTGTTCCGTAATGACTGATGATGGCGGTGGTGGTGGTTTATAGCCCCAATTAGGTGGTTCCATACCCGGACGGGTATTATAGTACATATCCAGCTGTTCCGATTGCGGACTATAGTTGTTCAGACCCAGACCGAGTCGCGAGCGTGATTCGGACATTTCACGACCATCTCCTACACGACGAAAAGAAACGAGAAAAAGACCAACCTTAATATATCACAACCAAGCAACAATAGCAAATACCTGTACGTCTTTCGCGTGATGAACGGGATCTTGACATGTGATCAGTCTCGTCGAGCTCCTCGTCGCGCAGGTCACGTTTCATGACAACAACCGGTGGTGGTTTCTGTTCGGGTCGTGACATGGAGGGCGGGCCTGGTGAGCCGGTGCCACGATTACCGCAACGTTGTCGTATGGCCAAGACCAGGCGTCGTGGAATTGACATTATTATGACAACGTCGTCCAGGGACATGTGGGTGACATCGACTAAATTCACGGCAAGGATTTCATCGCCCACCTGGAGGGAGAAGAAGAAAAACATTTAAACACTCATAGAAAAAGATGAGGAGTAATAGGAACCCTACCTTCAGGCATCCACTATTCGACACTGCAGATTCGATGGCAATCCGTGAAATGAATACACCATCGGTACGATCGGCACCATTTCCTTCGCGTATATATAAACCTAAGGTTTGACCGGGTCTCTTAACGATTTCCACCAACTAGAAGACAACAGGAAAGAAAGGGGTTAATATAAAAATCCAAAAAAAGGGTTCCATGAAATCTATCCTACCTGTACTATATGTCGATTATCTTTCTTGGCCAATAATTTATGGGCTGCATCTACGGCCTGTTTACCGCCAATACTGTGCGGCTCCAAGATGCGCACTATCATTTCACCTCGTCTCTCGACCGCCTAGAAAAATCTGTTGTAATTTTGGTTCAATTATTTCTATTGGGTGCGGAACTTACCTCCAAGGCGGCCGCTGTATTCGGATCATGATCATTTTCGACAGCTTCTATCTGTCGGAAGATTTCGGAACTAATACCTGAGACCTTCCGGAAATCACCCTGCAATAGGACGGGTTCTTTTGATCCACCCTGTCGCTGTTGATGATGTTGCTGATGCTGTGATTGTTGTTGTTGCTGATGATGATGTTGCTGCTGCTGTTGTTGATGTTGTTGTTGCTGCTGCTGTTGATTAACCATCGTTTGCATTTGATTTGATGGCAATGGTCCGGGCGGCGCACGGCCCGGGCTTGCCGTAACATCAGGAACTGATCTTCCATTTTCCTGGAAAAAAATACCAAAAACAAAAATATTGAAATAAGGAAAATTTTCAAGAACTAATTTTTCAAGGCCTAAGGATAATATTTTCTCAAAGCCTTAAAAAGGCGAGGATTTTTAAAGACTGATTTTTCAAGCCCTAAAACAAGGCGTGGAGTTTTTAAAGATTAATTTTTCAAGCCCTAAAACATTTTTAAAGAATAATTTTCAAGACCATAAGAAGGCGTGGATTTTTTTAAAGAATATTTTTTCAAGGCCTCAAGAAGGCTTTTAAGAATATTTTTTCAAGACCTTAAGAAGGCGTGGATTTTTTTAAAGAATATTTTTCAAGGCCTCAAGAAGGCGTGGCTTTTTTAAGAATATTTTTCAAGGCCTCAAGAAGGCGTGGCTTTTTTAAGAATATTTTTTCAAGTCCTCAAGAAGGCGTGGCTTGTTTTAAGAATATTTTTTCAAGGTCTCAAGAAGGCGTGGCTTTTTTAAGAATATTTTTCAAGGCCTCAAGAAGGCGTGGCTTTTTTAAGAATATTTTTTCAAGACCTTAAGAAGGCGTGGATTTTTTTAAAGAATATTTTTTCAAGGCCTCAAGTAGGCGTGGCTTTTTTAAGAATATTTTCCAGGCCTTAACAAGGACCAAATCAGGAGTGGGTTTTTTAAAGAATATTTTTTCAATGCCTCAAGAAGGCGTGGTTTTTTTTAAGAATATTTTTTCAAGGCATCAAGAAGGCGTGGCTTTTTTTAAGAATATTTTTCAATGCCTCAAGAAGGCGTGGCTTTTTTAAGAATATTTTCCAGGCCTTAACAAGGACCAAATCAGGAGTGGGTTTTTTAAAGAATATTTTTTCAATGCCTCAAGAAGGCGTGGCTTTTTTAAGAATATTTTCCAGGCCTTAACAAGGACCAAATCAGGAGTGGGTTTTTTAAAGAATATTTTTTCAATGCCTCAAGAAGGCGTGGTTTTTTTTAAGAATATTTTTTCAAGGCCTCAAGAAGGCGTGGCTTTTTTTAAAAATATTTGTCAAGGCCTCAAGAAGGCGTGGCTTTTTTTAGGAATATTTTTTCAAGGCTTCAAGAAGGCGTGGCTTTTTTTAAGAATATTTTCCAGGCCTTAACAAGGACCAAATCAGGCGTGTGTTTTTTTAAAGAATATTTTTTCAAGGCCTCAAGAAGGCGTGTATTATTTAGAAAAATTTTCCAGGCCTTAACAAGGACCAAATCAGGCGTGGATTCCTAAGGAGTAATTTTTCCAAGGACAAAAAGGCGTGGATTCCTAAGGAATAATTTTTTCAAGGACAAAAAAGGCGTGGATTCCTAAGGAATAATTTTTTCAAGGACAAAAAAGGCGTGGATTCCTAAGGAATAATTTTTTCAAGGACAAAAAAAGGCGTGGATTCCTAAGAAATAATTTTTCAAAGGACAAAAAAGGCGTGGTTTCCTAAGAAATAATTTTTCAAAGGACAAAAAAGGCGTGGATGGATAAGGAATAATTTTTCCAAGGACAAAAACGGTGTGGATGGATAAGGAATAATTTTTCCAAGGACAAAAACGGTGTGGATGGATAAGGAATAATTTTTCCAAGCACAAAAAAGGCGTGGATTCCTAAGGAATAATTTTTCCAAGGACAAAAAAGGTGTGGATTCCTAAGGAATAATTTTTCCAAGGGCGAAAAAGGCGTGGATTCCTAAGGAATAATTTTTCCAAGGGCGAAAAAGGCGTGGATTCCTAAGGAATAATTTTTCCAAGGACAAAAAAGGTGTGGATTCCTAAGGAATAATTTTTCCAAGGGCGAAAAAGGCGTGGATGTTGAAAGTATTTCTTGCTCTGCTTCTAGTGGATGAAGGAAAAACGACGTGTGCTCTGGCTGGTGGCTTTATTGAGAGTGACTAATTACATCTTACACACTAAACAAGAAAACTTAACACTAAGAATATTTACAGTGGTGGTGTGTAGGTTACACTAAGCGAACTCATCGCAATTAGTCTACGCATGTATGTTGTGTGTTGGAAGTCCGTAACGTGGACATTCAATAATTACAACACTCCTCCTCAACACACATACATACATGCCCCAATCAAAATCTCTCAAAAACATTTCTTTATTTACATAATTTCAAAATTTGTACACTTATTACAAATTATAAACACATACAGTATTTTTTTGGAATATGATCAGCAATCTTCTCCTCCTGCATCTTGCCCCCTCCATGGGTTCGACAATAGTTGACCTAACGGTGCACTCAGCACTGCCATCGAAACACATTCGACACCGTCTGTTGTGGGCTCTCCCATCATATCGACCGTAACGGTGTTGGCACATAGGGTTGTTTTGTTCTCTGCAGAAACACATTCTGATTACAAATACAACTCCCCTCTTGCGGTCAGCAAACTCCAATTACTCGTCGTCAATCTGCGCACATTTTTCTTTACGACCCCTTTACCGCTTCATTGTCAACCGTCATTACATTGACTTGCAGGTACACAATCAACACGCTATTTGAGCCTACCCCTTCCATTCCGCCAGAGACTTCTCGTAAACAATTTACGCATCATAAAATACGCACCGCTATCCAAACACACAACGCTCTTGCTTACGTTGTTGTTGTCAAACACACAATAACTGTGTACGCATGCTCATGGGGATTTCTCTGCTCAACCTTTTTCGCTGCCTGCAGTCTCTGCTGCCACTTTTTGTGCGCGAACTGTTTTCATTACTACCTGTGTTGTTGTTGTTGCTGAATTTTCTTTGTGTGCCTTAGCAATCGCACCCTTTTGTTGTTGTTGCCACTTACTCGCCTTTTCGATTTTTTCAAATCTGCATACTTATATTGGAAATCGTCTCCCAAACATATTGATTGACCACCATAGATTTCCTTCGCAGATTTCACCAGCCATCATCAATGCAACACATGCATAATTCCAGTTGCGTATGTTGTCGACACACGATCAACATACCCGACACTCGGTTATACAACATGGAATGACTCTCAATTCACTTTTTCTTTTGAGCACTCTTCGATCACACAGATCGGTCACAGTCTACTGTTTTTCTTTCCTTGTGTAGTCCAAGCTCCATCGTTACTGACACACTGTAACGAGCTGCCTTGGTTGCCGACACACAGCTAACCATTGGACTCACACAATCCACTAGTCTCACTGGGATTCACTCTTTCCGGGGCCATGTGTTACTGACACACAAGTAACACAATCGCTGGTTTTCGACACACGAACAACCATGATCTGCTGGAGGGACACGCTTCTCCAGAAGCCTGCCGGTTACTACTCACTTTGTATTTTTCTCCATCAGAGTGATCCTGGGCGTACACTATTTATCTCTTTCAGAGTCATCCTGCATTCAATGCTGCGACTGCTTCGCATGGCTATGCGTGGGGTGACTGGGCCCATAACCTGTTGAAAATATTATTCTTGATCTGCTACTAGTGGATGAAAGGAAAGACGCGTTGTGCTCTGGCTGGCGGCTTTATTGAGAGTGATTGTGTACAACTTACACACTAAACAAGAAAAACTTAACACTAAGAATATTTACAGTGGTGGTGTGTAGGTTACACTAAGCGAACTCATCGCAATTAGTCTACGCATGTATGTTGTGTGTTGGAAGTCCGTAACGTGGACATTCAATAATTACAACAGTGGATTCCTAAGGAATAATTTTTCCAAGGGCGAAAAAGGCGTGGATTCCTAAGGAATAATTTTTCCAAGGACAAAAAAGGCGTGAATTCCAAGGACCAAACATGCGTTCCTAAGGATAATTTTTTAGGCCCAAAAGGCGTGAATTTGTAAAGAATAATTTGTCCAAGGACCAAAGAGGCGTGAAATTCTAAGGCTTATTTTTCCAACCACCAAAGATGGGTGAATTTATAAAGAAAAAGTTTTCCAAGGTCCAAAAAGGCGTGGATTCCTAAGGAATACAATTTTCCAGGGCCCCCAGATATCTTCGTATGAAATTGTATATTCTCCATCGTTACGACTCTCACAACGGCTAGACTTTGTGGCTATCATTAATTCATTGTATGTCAAGAAAATGGTACCAACACTCACACGTCATCATCGCTGGCAGACATTGTCATCGCCATGCTTACGCTTGACTACAATGTATGTATGAATATTTGATTGGTTCTTTGTTTTATTATTTGTTGTTGTTCTTGTTAGCTTTTCCTATTTTTACTTTTTTCCCATTGCCGTTGTTATGAGTCACCTGCTCTTTACATCGTTTTGTTGTTGCGTGTTTGTATTACTTTGGATTTACAAAAATGTCATACATTATTTACCATACATCAGCCCACACACACATCCGCACACCTACCCGAACTCACTTCCCAGTAATCCCACCTCCAACATCGTTGCACAAAGAATTTCGTATTTTCTTAAATTCCTGGAAAAATAGGGCGGAATTGCTTTAGCGTGTTTCTATTTTTTATTTTATTTTTTTTTCAACAAGGAGATTTGCAACAACACTAACAACAAGTGTGTGTGTGTGGTGTGTAAGTCCATTGTAATCGTCTGGCATTTTGGAAAAAATGTTGACATGACATTTGCAAGTTCTAAGTAATCATTGTTGAAGGTCTTAATGTAGGATTTTTTTAATTATTTCAAGAATGAAAAGCAAATCAATGAAGCGATGAAATAAAACATTCATTCATGAATATTTTAAATTTGAAAAAAAAAAATCCAAGAACTATTCGGCAAGTGAGTATGGATGTTTTAAGAATGAAATTCCAAGGATCATTTAAAAGTATTTTTTAATTTTTTCTTAAACGATTTTTTAGTAGAATTTCCAAGAATCATAAAACGTGAATTATTAAGGTTGAATTTTTCGAGGACTAATACAAGCGTGGATTTTTTAAATTAGAATTTTTCAAAGACTAATACAGACGTGATTTTTTAAATAGAAATTCTTTAAAGTAGAGTTTAATATATGCGTATTTTTTAAGGACTAATAAAGGCGTGTTTTTTTTTAAATGTGTGTTTCGGGGACTGATACATTCGTGGGTC